CACTCGCACGCTAAGAGGGAGGCCTTCTAGGCTCTGGGCGAGGGTTCCTCTCGAGTAACTTTCCAGAGCGAGTCGCTCTGGCTGCTCTTTCCTTGGTTCGGGGTGACGCCGCGCGGCCCTGAGTGCACTCTCCAGATGCAGAGGACATTGAGGAGCGTTTGCCCCGAGCGCATTTCTCAGGCCATGGAAAACACGGTGGAGAGCCAAGGAGGATATTTTTCAAAATACTTGACGCAGGAAAATGGTTCCACTCCAGGGAGAAAGAAACCCTCTGAAATAGTTTCCAGCCGTAGTGGTAAATACCAGTCAGCAATCCAACCTGCCGGATAAGAGCCTTTCTGAGGAAATTCCATGTAGATACATACATACTAAAAGTATAGGATAAAGTTACAAGCTGAAATAACAGAATGCAAACATGCTATTTTCCCGATATAGCTAATAAAGGCAGTGAGAGGACCCTTCCGCTGCTACCATAAATACTGGTTGGTTTCGTTATGTATCTTTTTCAGCACTAAAGACGCTGGGCAATTTCCCCCTCCGTAATGAGACTTAACTCCAGCCGCGGTTGGGAGGCATCGCCAGGACTCGCACGCCAGGCTGAAGGCCCCGCACTTCAGAACGGAATTCACGGAACAGAGTCTGACCTTGCCAAGTCGGCGACTTTTTTGTAAAGCTCGCTTACTGCCTTTTTGTTCAAAGCCTTTCATGGGGAGTTGAGAAGCAGACACTCGACTGGTTTAGCCAGGGCTGAGCCATGTGCCTTGAGGGCTTCATCCAGCAGCGACAATACAAATGGGGGAAACAGCATCACATCTTTAATGGTCCGGCAATTTTCTCGAGATCCAGGCGCAGGGGGTCAACACAGGGTTGCGTGCTGTCGATTTGCCACTGGTTTTTAGCAGCAAGCTGCTTCGCAGCAGCCAAATTTAGCTCACTGCAAGCTCGGCTTGGCCACTGGGGTATTTGGGAGTTGTCCATTTTCTGACGGGGTCCATACATCTTATGGGGGTGCATTCAGGGAATGCAAAAGAGCCCCTGGGCCTCCTGAAGTTGTATAAGGAAAGCAGCTGGAACACAGCCCGTGAACGCCGCTCTCCGGCCCATGCACGGCCTTCCCGGCCACCAAGGAGCCTCTGGGACACCTTGTCTGCCAAACAATCGCTGGCAGGTTTGCACGGTGCCAGCTACCGAACTGAGCCATGGAGCGCTGCGGCTTCCTGTTTGCAAAGTCACCCCCGGCTTTCCTTGACTTGCCCCAGAACACCCAGAGGGCGATTTCCCGATCAGCCGCAGACCCCCAAGCTGGGAAGCGCGTGGCGGTGGCCTTCCTGCGTGGACATCGGCCTGGTTAACACTGGCAAAGGGTGCTTGTGCCAGCGAGGTGGAGGAGGTGGGCCTTGGGGGTGGATGGCCAGGACAGGCATCTCTCCGTGGATGCGACCTTGACACCTGCCCCTTTGGTTTTGATCTGTGACTCGTAAGGCTGGAAATCATCTGCACGTTCCTGAGAGAACCCAGATTCAGGGGCTTTTCGGTGGCACTCGGTAAGTTTGTGGGTTAAGGAAAGAGGCTGTGCCGGTATGTTAAGCTGGAGCAATGCCAGTGCTGCCCCCACAGACGGGCACTTGGGGGCAGTGAGGGGAGGGAGATGTGCCGAGCCCTCCTTTCCGGCCCCTTCTCGGCCCCAGCGCCTTCGCTGAACCGCCTTCCCCTAACGGAAGAAGTCGCCGAAGCTTGCTTGCTGCAGCATCGGACCATAACACTCTGTCTGGTTCGCACGTCACCATAACATCATATATTTATGTACTCGTTTATTTGTTTAAAGCTTTTATAGTCCGTTCTGTAGCAACGCTTTTGGAACAGTTTCCAGTGCAAACATGATAACAATAACAGGTCCAGAGTGATTGTAGCCGTTCCAGAGTAACAACAACAATTAGCAAAACACAGAATATTCATGGTGGGTTGCTCCTCACAGATGCGGCTGCTCGCTCCGAGTCCCTCCAGGTGCTTTCTGCAGCGGTGGCAGGCCCCGCCGGGGGCCGCAGCTTGTTCCCAGCATCTGTTCACTAGGAAGGGGTTCTCCCGCCATCTGGACGCCGCCTCACAGCTGGGAATCGGCTCGTTGCTGAACACCGCCATTGCCCTCGGCACAGGGTCCCAGCCAGCATGAGTGCCAGCCCCCTCCCCAATCCCCCGCGTGGTTGTCCTTGCAAGTTTCCCCATCCATCCAGCTTGCAACACTTGGAGGCCACATGGCTGAGGGGAGCCCTTGCACCCCCGCTCCCTGGTTTGGTGTACCTGCTTCTCCCCCCCACCACCCCCATGTGACTGGGGATTCTCAGTTGTCAGCTTGGTAACTGTGGGGTGACATTGGACCAGCTGTAGACTCTCGCCCAGCCCACCTCGCAGGGTTGTTGTTGTGAGGGTAAGACTGAGAGGAAGGGAAGGATGCCCGCTGTCTTGCGCTCCTTGGAAGGAGAAAAGGTGCTGGTGGTGCTGGTGGAGCAAAGCCCAACCACCTGACTTGGCCCCGTGCAGAGGGGACCCTGGAGCGGCTGCCAGAGAAGGGTGGCGCCGGCCGGTTTGCTCCCCTGCTGCCAACCAACCCACGCACCTCGCCGGGTCGAGCATCCGCCCTCACCTGCTCTGACCCGCTCTTCCAGGGTGCCGCCTGACGTGCGCCCCTTTGCCCCCCGATAGGGAGGAGGCCCCTTTGGATCAGCTCTTGTCCGCAGCCAGGGCGCCCTTCCCCCGTAAGTGAGATCCCGGTGGAGCCGGGAGAGAGAGAAGCCAAGGCGGCACGGGGGTGCCCTGGGCGCTGCCCCCTCCAAGGGCACCCTGGGCAGCGCTGGGGAGGGGGCTGCCGCCGCCGCCCGCCATCTCTGGGGGCCACTGGTGGGCCTGGGCCAGAGACGTGGCCTGGCTGCGGGCTCCTCGCAGCAGTGCAGGCCGGAGGGGCTCCCCGGCCTCGGAGCAGGCAGGAACATCCCCCCGCTTCGGGGCGGGGGCGTCCAAAGAGGGGGCAGCCCCCTCTGCGCTGCAGCCCCTGTGCAGACTGCATGTGCCGCCTGAGCACATGTGCCTGTGAAGGCTGCCTGGCCTGGTGCTGGGGGTGCTGGGCGCTGGAGGGGCAGGGAAGCGGGAGACGGGCTCAGGGACGTGGCCCCTCCCCAGCGTGGCCTGCCCGCCCCCATTGCCAGCTGTGGGGTGCAGGCCAATGCAGGAGTGCAGGTGCTGCTCCTTGGGGCAGGCGGGCAGCTGTCCCCAAAGTGACAGAGGAGAGGAGGCGCACCCCTCCCTTCCCCGGGGGGAGGCAGCAGTGAGGGCCCCCACGCCCTCCGCCCAAGCACCGCTGCCCTCTCCCGTGTGGACTTTCTCAAGGACGAGCGCCATTCAAGTCCCTGGGGCTTACTTCTGAGTAAAGCCAGTCGAGAGGGTGCGATCTGTTCCAGAGCGCTTCCTGCCGGCTGTTCCGTGGGCAAAATGCCAAAGGGCACATTGGAAGAGTCGTTCGTCCCGATCGATTGATCATCAGAATAAAACCGTTACCCTTTCAGCCCCAGGTTGACTCTCCCTCGCAGTGGGCAAGGCAGAGAGAGAAAGGAGGGCGTGGAGGGTTCGGGGGGAGATGGGAAAGCGGCTCAGGGCCTGGTGCTGAGGCTGCACCATCGCAGGACGTGCCCCGAGTCAGACGGGGCGACACCCACAAAGCCGCCTGGCCTGGACCACCCCTAGGCCATGTGAGGAGCGGAGCGGAGCCGGCCCACGCCGGGCCCAGTGGCTGGGGGCTGCCGGCAAAGGCTGCACTGCCTCGCTCAGGTCGTTTTGCGCGCTTTTCTTGGCAGACACACGTGAAATGCCAATCAAGCCAGTTTCGAGAAAGAGTGGTGCTGCACCCCCAGAGCGCATGACTTTGCAACATTATTTGCAGCACCAATGAGACACGAGGACGGCATTTTGCCACCTGGTGGTAGCTTCACTGGGTCAGCCTCACGTCTGGGGGCAGGAGGCGCCATCCATGGCATGTCCCGGCCAAGCCAAGGGCTTTGAAGAGGACTCCTTTCAAGAGCAGAGAGGGGCAAGGGCTTGTAGCCCTTTCCATTTAACAGATGCGGCTCTTTCCTGGTCTAGGACTTTCTGTCCTGACAGTAACTTGGTGCCTTGTGCAGGGCCCGTTAGTGCACAGAATGCTTTGAAACGGGGGCACAAGGCCTTTGCACCATGGCAGAATTGGTGCATCAGGCGGAAGGGCCATGTCTGACCGGGTCCTGCTTTTGGTTGGTACAGGTCTGGCCACCTGAATGTGCTTTTTAGCACACAACTGTGGGTTTATTTGGAAGCTCCAGCTGGGAAGAGCCAAACGACCTGGGCAGTTGCCATTTTCAGTATTTTTACACCCAGTGATGTCCGATTCCAACCACCAAGTAGTTTTCCAGCAGCCGCGGACCTCGGCGTGAGATGACTGAAGAGGTCTCTGAAGCAGCCATTTGAGTCAGTAAATGAGAGAGACATCAAACACGTCCAGAAAGGAGCAAGCCCTCTCGGAACCAGAGTGTCTGCGAGATCCCGCTGATACTGCAAGTTCAGATTTTATTCCATTTATTTGGTCAAACTAGTTTTGCAGTATTTGCAGAAAGATCCATCAACGTTAGCATTGCCGCCACGTGCCTTCAACGGGACACATGAAATGGTTACAGGTCGTTAAAGACAGCAGTGGCAGGGCCACGCTGCAACTGGCCGAAACCTTCCCACAGAAGCAAAGTTGAATTACCTTCAGGTACAGCAAAAAAGGAAAATAAGATAGAAACAGCTTTCTCCAGTAAGTTATTTCCAAGGTTCCACTCTGTAAAACAGGGTAATGGAAAGAACTGCTTTGACCTTGATTTTCTTCTTCCAGGGCTTACAGTGAAAGGGAGCAGAGGAAACCTAGACACAGAGTATCGACGAATTCTATTAGGCATGGGACAGGGAGCATAAACAAAAACAGGATGCACGTGATATTGGTTTGGGATTTTTATTTCTTTAAAATAATTCATACAAATGGATACAGTCACAAACATGATTTTAACCCAAAATATTGCTAGCCTACCACGTTACCAGGAAAGAATCCATGTGGCGATGAAATGCTGCTACTTTCCAGTAGTCGAGTGCCTCTCCCGCCCACCCCACCCCCTCCCCTCCCATCAATAATATATACTTTTAACTGGTGACAAAAAGCATCAACGCCTGTTTATACAAAACCTTTATTTGCACCTCAAAATCTCTTTGAAATGTCTTCATTCTGGAGTAAGGGAAATTTGTGCCAAAATTAGGAGAAACTGTTTTTATTAAATTATTCTAAAAAATAAGACAAGAAGGTAGAAAAAACAATGCACTGTGTGGCGTAGAAAGAAAAATGGGGAAATCGTTATCCTGAGAAGTTCACCAACCGCCTCATTTTTGGGCATTTTTAAACATAGAAAAACAAAGGATCTCAAAACTGGTTTGTCGAATGCCTCCCTTCGGTGTATTTTTCCTTGTCGACAGCTATGCAAACAAACCCTTGTTAATGTTCTAAAAACTGTACACAGACAAGTACATTCATGATATAATTAACTACTAACTTCTCTGGCTTAACAAAGAACCCAAAGGACACAGAAACGGTGAATCAGGTCACTGGACAGGGACAAACTACATTTTATATGGAGGAATAAGGTTTTCGAATCTTCTTGCCATCTCCCACCATATTGGACCAGTTTCTAAGCGGACGTGGCCGCCTCCTCCGCCTGTTCGTGGCTTTGCATCGCTTCACAGTCCGACTGAGCTTCCGCGCGCCCTCAGAGCTGCAACTGCCAAGCTGGGAATGATGCTCCTGCGGGCTACAATTGGTCACTCGGGTGGTCTCTATCCGCCTCGGGCTTGACTGTCTGGCCGGGCGAGGGAGCGTGGGGCGGGTGTGCGGCGGGGGGCAGCCCGTGCGACAGGGACATGGCGTTGGGAACGATTCCTTCCACGGCGGCGGGGATGCCAGGCGGGGCCACGCTCACGACGCTGGGCGGGAACCTGCTGGGAGGGGAGGGGAGGGGAGAGGAGAGGAGAGGGCCTGGCACGCGTTCCGAGCGGCCGGGAAAGCCTGCGCTCCGCGCTTGCCGCTCCCGCCCCAGCCCCTCCGGCCGCGCGCGGCATCCGTGGCCAGGCGGGCTCCAGGCTGCGAGGGAGCGGTTCCCACGAGGGGCAGGCCAAACGGGCCGGGCCAAACCCCCCCGCCCCCCGAGCCTTACCTACCTGTACGCGGCGCCGTTCAGCTCGGGGTGCACCACCCCGGGGTCCATGCTGGCCCAGTGCGTGGCTGCAGTCAGGTGCTCCTTGTTGACACAATTCTTGAGGCTGTCTGGGATGCGGCCTGGCGGGGACACAACGCACTCGTCAGCTCCGCACCTGCGGCGCCTGCTGCGCTGGAACGCGCCCAGCCCACGCCAGCACACCGCTCCTCTCCACTTTCAAGAACGGTTCTTCTACCATTTCCCATGCTTTCCTCTCCATTCTTTGGAGGCAGGAATGCTACACAGAATGCTTTAAAAGGCGACGGCTTAACCCTGCCTATGAAATTTGGAACACGCATGCATGGAGTGATCAGCATTCGTCTTGGGTCGCGCATATACACTGGATTTTTTCCCCTTTAAGCAAGCACATCACTGAAACGGCAAAGGTTGGAAAGGCCTTGCTCCCCTTTAAAACAAAAAAACCCCTTGATATTGTTCTTAATGCTATCATGTTCTTTTAGTTGATCTGTTGCTGTTGTTGTTTGGCTAATTTTTAAAAACAGAATTTTGAAAATGCTAGCTGGGTTGGAAAGTGGTGCCCGCCAGAACATTTTAGCGCCTGCACGTGGAGTGCAGAAGGCTCGCCCGCCTCGCGCATCCCTGCCCTCGCCATTGTCTTGTGCTGGGAGCGAGTGTGGGGCGGTGGATGGGAGACGGGGACCCAGGCGATCGGAGCGCCGGCCCCTGCTCAGTCGTGCAGCCCACTGGCCACTTTGGGCCAGTCGCAGACACTCAGCCCAACCTACCTCACAGGGTTGTTGCTGTGGGGATAAGACTGAGAGCAGGAGGAGGAGGAGGAGGATGCGGGCCGCTTTGAGTTCTTTAAAAGAAGAAAGGGTGGGATATACATCGGCTAAATAAATAAATAAATACCATGCTTCTTACAAAGAGGGGAAAGGTGTGCGGCGCGATGGATATCCACACCTCTGGAAAGCGCCTTCTGGAAAGCACCTTCCAGACTGCTCTTTCCTTAAAAATGCTGGCCTGAATGCAGGAAGGGGAAATGACTGAAGCTGCGCTCTTAACAATGGGGCGGAATTCTGAATGGAGAACTCCGGCCCGTTCCCCGTCCTCTGCAGGCTCCTGAACTTGTGTTCCCGGAAGACCCTTCGGAACAGCGCAGAATGTTATTCTGCAGGCTTCCGGGGGGGGGGGGGGGGCTGCAGCTCATCCCTTCCATTCATGAGCCAAGATGGGAGAGCGGAGGCGCAAATGTAAAGTTGCGGATTTTGGCCAGCAGAGTCATTCTCTGGTAACAGCCCTCTTCTCTGCTTCCCTAATTCATTTCTCAAAACTAGCAGGTAATCATCATGGACTATTCAAGAAAAACAACGGAACAGTTTTCCTGATGAAGAAAGTCATAAAAGGACCAGTGAGGGACCAAAGGACATAAGCAGAACTGAAGAGTATCTGGGCCAGCGGGGTGCTCCCTGTAGAAGAAGCCAGAAGTGTGTCCCACCAAGGACTGCCCCCGTGTCCCAGACCACAGCGGGTCCAGCTCAGCCGACTGTCCCCACAGATCTCACCTCTACCCCTTTCCCTCAGCCAGTGCCACTGAGGAGCACGTGGCCCCTGACGACAGAGGGGAGACACCAATGTCCCGAGCAGGAACCGCTACCGGCCCGGTCCCCACCCACTTCTGCTTCCTGAAACAGCCCGGGAGTGGCATTCCTGGGTTGCTGTCATGTACAAATTTGGCTCTTCGGGGCTGAACAACCCAGGGTTTTGAGCCATGGGCTGAAATGGTAGGAGGCTAATCCTAAAAGATGCTGGGTTCACAATTCATGGTAACAACCCATCCATTCACAGAACCGATTCAAGGCAGAGGAGGTGAATGGGTGGTTGGTGGCTTTCATGCAGCCGCGCCAATTCCTGGGATGCTCAATCCAGGGACGAGCACCATGCGCAAGCAGGGCCACTGCGGAGACACTGAAGGCGACGTGGCTGGCACCTGTGATAGCTCTCCGGATCTCCCGCGCCGCCTCTTCCCGCATCTCTATGGAGGCTTGCTCACTGTACCAGGCAGCATGTGGAGTGCAGATCAGGTTCGGCGTGTCCTTCAGCGGGCCCTGACTGAAGCTGCAGGGGAAGACAGAGGGGGCGTCGCATGTCAAAAATAAGCGTGCATAACAAGACGCAAACTGTACCTTTGTTTCCTGGGAGCTTGGAATATTTAATTCTGTCCCTGGTGTGCCGATGGACACGCCAACCAAGCTTCCAACCAGAGGAGGGAAAATTTAGGCAGTCCAGGATGAAATAAAGATAAAATTTAAACACCCCATCCACGCGGAGTGCTTAAAAGTTAAAATTAATTTGTTTGCAAAAAATCAGAGAGTTTGGTGCTTTGTAGCTCTGATGAGAACAAGAGCTACAGCAGTTGAGCTTCAACGAGGAGGCCTGGCAGAAATTCTTCTGTGCAGAATTTTGAGAGGAATAGGAGAGGAGAAAGAATCTAATCCTCACAGCCTCCATGGCGCATCCATGGAAACAGCTGGCTTCAGTCACCTCCATGTATGCCAGCAGGTATGAGTGTCCTCCACGTATGCCACTTTTTGGAGGCCCACGGAGACGGAAGGCAGCGTGGGGTGGACTCTACCTGGAAATGGGCTTGGCTCCAGAGCCACTGCTTCCCCGCTGGCCAGGAATGTGAGCGGCCCAGGCTAGGCCTGCCTGTCGGGGGTTCCTTAAGCTCGGAGAAGGCGCTGCCCCAGGAGGGGAGCCGCTTTCTGCCTCCGGTCCCCGCCCCGAGCTGCCATGTTGAGCAAGCCCAGCAAGCGTGGCTTGTGCGAGGCTGCCGTGGCCCTTGCAGAGCACGGGGGCGGCCCTGGGGCGGCTCAAGCCTTGCACAACCCACGCTTGCCAGTCTGCGCCCTGCGACAGCCTCACACGCGGGCTGGAGGCGTAACACGGTGGCTGCGTGCAGAGCCGCCTCGGCGTGCTCCGAAGGACCCCGAGGGCAGCCTCCGCCACGAGCCGGCCCAGCAAAGCAAGCTTGCCGCTGCCCGAGCCGGTGGGGCGAAGGCCTGGAACGGCCCGGCCACTGCCAGGGCGCCTCCGCCCCACTCTGCGCCGTTCTTTTGCCCTCCCAGCCACCCGCGGAGGCCGTGCCTGTCCCTCCCCTCTCCGCCTTGGTTGATGCCAGAAGGAATGCGGGAAGCTCTTTCGGAGGACCGAGCAAAAGCTAGTCCCTAGCAGCTGTGAGTGACGAGGCCGCCGCCGCTCTTCCCACCTGAATGGCTCCGATTCGTGCACGTCCAAGGCCGCTCCTCGTATCCTGCCTTCCTTCAGGGCTTGTGCCAGCGCCTTCTCGTCGACCAGGCCCCCGCGGGCCGTGTTCACCAGGAAGGCCCCTTGCCGCATCTGCAGGAGGGAGGAGGGTGACGCTCAGGGCGGGTGCGAGACACAGCCCTGCCAGCGGGACCGTGGGCAGGAAGAACTGCCCCAGTTAGGGAAGTCCACCGAAAATGGACCATCGTCCTGAACCCGGAAAACACCACACACTGTCTTTCACAAGTGAGCTTTTCAGCACTGAGTCTTTACCAGGCGTAATAGCGAAGTCAGACGGTAAAAAAATGGACTTTTATTATGGATGAAGTTAACTAAGCTGAAGGAAAGGCTAAGCATCAAATAGACGTGCCTTTGTATTTAAACAGGTAGCTCAGATCCTGGGGAAACCATTAGAAAGGGTTTTTTTTTTTTTTAAATTCCATCTCATTAACATAATTTTAAATATATGGCCTATACGGGGCACTGGAGTCAGGCTGCAACTCAGGAAATTCAAGCGTTACTCACGGAAGAGTTGCCACGGCCACGTCTAGGAAAAGCTTGAAGAAAATGCGCCTACTGCTTTTCTTTTCCCAACTTGCACAAGTAATTGCACGAGCTTGAAAAGCAAAGTCTGCTGAAATTACTAAATTGGAAGGCATGCATGGTAAGGATCAGTTAAAAGTGTTTGCTTAGTGAAGCAAATCTGTAACTTTCTGCTTGCCATAACGTATCGAGAACAAGAGGAACATTTAAGTTTGCCAAGTAAGCCAGGCAATGCAAAAACAATCCGTAACGCGGCGGTGACTTATCAGGACGCTGCCGCATTCCACCTTTAGTCAAGTGGGAACTTTCCCGGATGCAGAGGACGAACTCTGAGCAACATGCCTCGGCACACCCACCGTTCCACCCTTTCCTTACATAAATAAGCGCTGGAGTGCAGGGATTCACTCATCGTGTAAACCCTGCTAGCATTATTCCAGAACGGGCCAGACTTTAATGCTGGGTCCTCTGCTGGCTGAAACTTGCGTGGGAAGATCTTGCCCTGAGTGAGTCTGTCCTAGTGAGCTGCCAACCGATCCACATGCATCCAGGCCGCTTACAAAGGGAGGCACGGCAACCCCGGCCATCTAATTATGAGGCTTGGCAGCATCCCCAGCTGGATCCCAGTCAAGGGCCATTTCACGAAGTCCACTTCATTCACAGCTCGGGGCCCGAGGAAAATAGCCGTGCTCGGCTGTACAAGTCATGAGAGGCCTCCGCATGAATTTAAAAAGGAAAGGGGACCCACAGAATCCGTGTCACAGAAACAGATTGTGAAACCTTGCCGATTCACTCTAGATTTATACCAAAATTTCTGCACACCTTTCTATGCTGATTATAATCCCTGCAGACCAGTAACAAGAGAATACTCCAGCCTGTGAGGGGTGAAACCCGACACGTGTAACCGAGGCCTGGGAGGGTGAACGGGAGCAGAGGGAGCTGGTCTCTCCTCGGGGCCTTCCGCAGAGGGTCAGCTCCAGGAGGAGTGGGGGGGGGGTGGCAACAAGGCGGAGCACTTTCTCTGTGGTGGCCCCCTTCTCTGGAACAACCTCCCCAGCCCCCCCCCCCACAGCCGGGCTGGAACCAAATTTGACACACGTGGCCGCCAGGTTAAGGCAGCCCTTAAAGACTTGCTTGGCCCCCGGGGCCTGAGTGGGTGACCCATCCCAGCTGGTTCGCATGGACTGCCCTGTTTTGCCTGCTTCAGCTGCTTCAGACTTTCTAATGATTCTTCTGATTTGATCATGTTTTTGCTGCTTTTTAGTCATCTCTTTTTATGGATGGTTGTAAGCTGCCCAGGTGTGGGGCAGTACAGAAATGGAATAATAATAATAATAATAATTAAAATCCATCAATCCTGCTTGCTCTACAGGCTCATGGGGCTTACAGACGTCTCACTGAATGTTAGTAGCTCTGCTCCCCAGGGGGTTACAGTCTCATTTAAAAATCCACATGTCCTTCCACCCCTTGCCTCAGAGGAAAGAGCACTATCACCACATTCTGGGCACCCCACCCAAAAAGCACCCGTGGCACAAGTCATGCAGGGGAGAAGAACCTGTTTGCTCCAGTGGAGCAAGGTTCTTAGGAAAAGCACTCAGAGGAGCAGATCCTTACAGTGTTTCCAGACTAGAGCCCTCTTTAGCAGATAAATTATTAGAGGGTTAGGGTTAGGGTTATGAGGGGAGCTGCAACAACTCTAGCTATCAGAATTCCGAAAAAGCTTGCTTCAATCAGAGAATGTGGTTCTGAGGCCATGGGCTCAAAGCACACACCAAGTTATCCTCTGGACAGCTTGCAAACACTCCTCTCAAAGCCCCAGCCTCTCTCGTCTTTCCTTCGCAAGCATTCTTCCAGAAAAAATTCGTGCAGCGGGTGGGGCTTGCGTTTGAGAGTGCCTGCACTGAACACAAGGGGGCGCCAGCCACTCGCCACACGGAAGCACGCTTTGGGTAACGGCCTCTGGAGCATTTTGCAGAGATGTGTTTAGCGTGCAAGCCGCTGAGGCAGACACCAGTACAGCCTGAGGAGCAAACCAAGCCAAGAGCAAAACCGACCGTAGTGCAGACGGACATACAGGAGAGCAGGACTTTTCACCTGCGGGACAGGCAGCAAAAACACACCTGCCGCGCATGGACAACGCTGCCACCCCTCCTGGCCTGGCTAAAGGAATCCCCGCGGAGCGCTTGGAACACGCAGAAGCGGCTCCCCAGTGGCGCGCGCATCTTCCCCCGGGGGAGGCTGACCTGCTTGATAGTGAAGTCGTTGATAAGGTGGTGGTTGTGCTCGTTGAGGCTGCAGTGGAGGGTGACACAGTCGCTGTGGAACAGCAGGTCCTGGAGGGTGCTCACCCGCTGCAGCCCCAGGGCCCGCTCGATGCCGTCGGAGAGGTACGGGTCGTAGAAAATGACGTTGAAGCCGAAGGCCTTGGCTCGCAGCGCCACGGCTTGTCCCACGCGCCCTGGAAGAGACGCGGCATGGTCAGGAGGTCGGAAGCGGCCCGCGGCCCACGAATGCGCCTGGCTGCCCCGGGGCCGCGTGCCCCTCCTCCCCTCTTTGCCCCGAAGCGGCTGCAGAGGGGGCAGAAGCGCCTGCTTTCCTCTCCGGCTGCCTCCGAGTCATCAAAGCCTGACATTGGGGTGGTTTTGCGAAGTGCAAGCCTGGCCAGAGTGCGGCTGAGCACTCGGCAGTGATCGAATAAGCAGAGGTGCTGACCAGGCCGAACCTCACGTGGCCGCTTTCCCCCCAGTCCACATGGGAGCCCAACACTACTGCTGCCACACACAAACTCTGACAGCGCCCCAGTGAACATCCGGAAAGGAAAGAAGCCCACTCTGCCGGGAAGGGTCCGCAGCACCACACCGAGCCCAGTCCTGGCAGGGGGCCACGCCCGGGCCTCCATCCAGATCGGCGTACCTAACCCGATAATGCCCAGGGTCTCCCCTCGGATTCTTGCCGCCCCGGAAGCAACTTCCCGGATCTGCTCCACGCTCTGCACTCGCGTGCCTTCCCGCAAGGCCTGGTGGAGCCAGGTGGTTCGTCTGTACAGGTTCAGGATGTGGCACATGGTCGAGTCCGCCGTCTCTTCCACGGACGCAGCCGGCACGTTGCAGACCGCAATCCCTTGAGCGACACAGAACGGCCCGTGAGTTTCACACCGTCCCCTCGCAGGTGCTCTCCCGGACTCCAACCCTCGAAGGGACCCCAGGAAGGGAACCGTTCAAAAGCACGGTCACTCAGCTGCACAGTTGCACCGTCACGGACGATACAGCCCCACACACCTGAGCTGGGCTCAGTGGGGCAAGGGGAAGCAGGCACGAGCTCCTCGGGCACCCAGTGGAAGGCCGGAGGAGGGCCAGGCCATGTCTGCGCTCCTCCTGCCCTGCAAAGCGGTTACACAGAGGTGCCGGCATACCTAAATCTCCGGCGGATTTAATATCGATGTTGTCAAAGCCACTTCCGATCCGAACAATAATCCGAAGAGCCTTAAACTTCTCCAGGTCTTCACGAGTTAGAGTGATGGTGTGATACATCAGTGCGCCCACTGCTTCATTTAGTACCTGGAAAACAACAATGGACAGCACTCGGTTAACTTCCTTTTCAAAATCGGACAAATCAAAATTTGGGGTTCCTCAGTTTAAGTGGCACACAAAACTCAACCCAGCAAATATCGGCCCGTTTGGGCAACCAGTGGTGATCGGTCATCTGCCGTTGTGTGCCACGTGAGACGCAAGGTGCAGGTGTGCTGGAATGCCACGAAGCGTTCACTGAATGCACTTTCTGCTATGCCGAAATTCAGGAGGCTTAACCCTGCAGCGGCACGCATCCTTGCGGCCAAAGGCAGCGTGGGGAAAGATCTCACGTTGCTGGTTCTCCTTGCACAAACTAAGGCGTTCCCTCTGCCCCTGTTGGCTTTAGCAAACGGAGCAATACAGAAAGGCGGGCCGCTCACCTTAACGGCCGCTCTTCAGGCAGTCACCTGTGCATTCACACATAACCTGCATGGAGCTGGTTACCAAGCAGGTTCGATGGCATAACGCATTTTGCCAAGAGACCCCCCACAGCCCTGCAACCACAGGAAAAGGAATGTTTCCAGCGCTCCCTCGGCTGCCAACGGGGCTGCCCAGTGGCTGCTGGGCAGAGGGAAGACTGCCCGCAGCAACCCCAAATTCAGTGAAGGTGAGCCAGCGAAGCAGCAAGGGCAACCGAACGGGAAGGAAAGGAGCGCGAATGCCAGGTTGATCGCGAGGCTCAGCGAGGCGGGTGGGTAGAGCAACGAGGAGGGGATGGAGTCGCCACTGGGAAGGCCCCTCCTGTGGCAAGAGGAAGAACGACTGGGGCCACGTGCTCAGGCAGCTTCCTGTCAAGGCCTGAGGACCCCCAACAAGCTCCAAGCGACCGAGTAGGTGGGAGAACAGTCTGCTCAGAGGCCTGCTCTCTGAACAGCCTCTGGTCCACCCAAGAAGCTCCTACTCACCGGGAGGGAGAAACCCAGCCGCGTTCCAAGCGCTCCCTTTGCACCAAGTGAGAGCACAGGCTTCATTCAACGCCTTCTAAAGGCCACCATGTGCCTCTGGCAACCTCGGATTCAAAGCTCAAGTCACCCATTTTGGAGAGGCAACACCTGGAAACACCTGAGCGCTTCAGGCAAGCCGCAGTCCGGACCAAAGGAGCCTAGGCAACGGTGCCGACATCTCTGGGGAGCACCACCATTTACCAGAGAGAAATCTGACATTTATTTCTCTGAAAAGGTCAGCCATTAACAATTTCTAAACAAAGAAACTGTATTAATTCCTTCAGTGAGAAACTAATGTTTTTTATGGGCGCTCCCACCAGACAAGCTGGAAGATACAGGGATGTAATTTCAGGACTGGTTCACATGCATTGCCTTCATGCAGACAGGCATGTGGGTGCAGGACCAGGCGGAGGCACGTGAGACGGGGCTGGGCACTTGGCGTGGGCTTGGTCTCGCCCCTTCCAAGCCACCCCCATCACGGGAGGCTCCAGAGCCGCCTCCTGCAAAGCTTCTTCCCAGGAGTCTGAAACAAGCTTCTCTAGGCCTGACCAAGAAAGGGAGCACCTGGCCCTTACATGAGGCACCTCAGAGGTTCTTGGCCCTTCCTGCCCATGGCCTCTGTCATCTCCATTAGGCTGGTCTGATGATAAATGGTTTAAAAACATCCGAAGACCTGCATGTGTGAAACCAGAATTTCTGGTTTCATAGCCATCACTGCTGCATCACCCTGGAATGCTCGCTGAACTCTGCCCGTGCACACTTTTCCATGCGTCAGTGCCGCTAGCTGGAAGGAGCACCAGGCGCTCGACTCGCGAGGACGCCACGAGGGACCTGCCGCTCACACCGGGCACGGACGGTCTCAGCCCAGACGAGCTCATCGCCAGGACCCGGCCACGGTTTGGGCCCCAAGCGCAACCAAGGCTTGCCAGGGCCGACAGTGCTGGTACTCCTCCATGCGGGTGACTGGCCCGGCTCACCCACTGGGAAAAGTACAGTGCGTGGCCGACCGGACCCTTTTTTCCTGAGGCAACGAAGGCTGTTGCCCTCATGAGCCACATCCTGAGCAGGCAGGACTCCCTGGAGAAGACTATCATGTTGGGGAGCCACAGTTACAAAATGAAGAGGAAGACCGACCATGAGAGGGATCCGTTCTGCAGCCCAGTGTTTGTTTGCAAGCGCTGAGCAGGGCTGCCGAGGACGGGACAGAATGCAGCTGAGTCTCTGTGCTCAACAGATTCAGAGTTGCTCTCAGTGGTACCTTTTCGTGGATTTCTTGCGTGGATTGTGCATCACAAAATGCCACCGTAGCTACATCCTTCAGGATCGGCATCTCTACCGTGCAGTCCCTGCCATCCAGGAGTGCGACCAGGGGGCGCGGGTGCATCGGCCCGTTCATGATTGGTGGTCGAATGCCTGAAATGAAAGGGAAACATCGCATTATGTATTTATTTACTTATTTATGTAAAACTTTTCTAGACAGTCCCTTGCAGTGGTCTCGGGACAGTTTAACAGTAAGACAATATAAAACAAAACAAAACCCAGCATCCTAATAAAATTTCCAACCAACAATAAAACCCCAATTGAAACAATCATATCTAAAAACATTGGGAAAATAAAAGGGTTTTAGTCTGGTGCCGAAAAGAATAAAGTGAATATATTCATTTCAAAGAGGAATAATACCAACTACAACAACCTTGGCTTTTTTGTAGTCTGATAATAGCAATGGAAAGGGAACAGAAATGGAATTCTAACTGGGAATAGCAAAGGAAATAATCTTTACCAGTCAGTAATTGGCTGAAATTATGCAACTGCATAAATGGCCATATTCAGACAATTCTGAGCCATTTTTTCTATTAGAAAGCTGAAACACTGGAACCGGCCCACCCCAGCCCATGTACAGCAAAAGGCACAAAACTCTGCCAAATCACCGTAAAAGGATTTGCCGAGGATATTGTCTCGTGGTAGAGATAACAGTCAATCCAGCATGTCAAGAGCCGTTCACCTGGACACCTGCTACAAGCACAAGTCCCGGTGACCCGGAAGAAATCCATTCTGACAAGCACTATACTTGGGCCTCGAACAACTAACGGAGGCCCCTGGCATTAAGCAGACTCGCGACTGCATGGTTTTTCTTGCACGTCTTCCATAAAGGGACACTTTGGCTCACTGGCAAGTTTTTCCAGGGGGGTTCGTGTCAACAGAGCAGCTCAGGGCAGGACCGAACAGCCACAAACAGCCAGGACAGGCCACAAACGCCAAAGTGGTCCCAGCCTGAAGCAGCAGACGCTCCTTTTGCCAATGCAGGGACTAGTTCTGCCATTTCCCCTCCTTCCCCGGAGGCTGCAATAGCTGTCCTTTACATCTAGGCATCGAGGTGTCCGCAGACGGCAGGCAGCACACGAATAAGCCGAAGGATCCCAGGATCCCCCCGCTGTCTCAGCTTCTGATGCTTTTACTCCTGAGACCAGGTCACCAAGATTACGGACATTTAAAGCCCCGTCGAGACAGACAGAGCAGGAGGCATCTCAGAAGAGCCCCCATTCAAGAAGGCTGCCCAGGTACGTGAAAGCTCAGGAAAACAGAGCACTGGTTTGCATCATGCAGGAATACGACGACCCGCCTCTGTTCAAAAGAGCTGTCAGCTGAACACAGACAACTGCGGGCCAAGAATGGGCAGAAATGGAAAATCGGAAGGGACAGACCAAGATTAACGGCAAAAAATGAGCCCTAATGCATGCATCTAATGATTAAAGCTCAGAAACAAACCTAAAACACCAAACGCAGCTACAAATTACACTCGGGGAAAAAGAAATGGCCAGAATCTTTGCTTCCTGCAGCACCTGGAAGCTGCAAAAACCAAGGAGGCTTCTCTACCCCAACTCAGTTCTCTTATTTACAGAGAGGTTTTATTTTTCTGTGAATGGGGCAAAATGCTCCTAGGTTTTCTGTGCAACTATTGGCTATAACGATCAATTGTGAGCATGTTCCTAACCTGTCGACAAAGCCCTGGATTGGGTTGTCCAGACTACACGGAGTCACCTGGCAGAGCAGTGCAGCTGTCTTCCATATGCTTAGGTGCAAAGCCGAGCGGAACGGCTGCCCCCGCTGCACATTATCACGGCTGGATGGCCGGCACTTCACTTCCTTGGGCTTTGCTTTGTCTTCCCCACCTGTACCTTCTGCTCCCTCTGGTTCTCCCCTCCCCTGAAGGGGCCGGTATACCAGGACCAGACAGCACAGGTCCAAACCCCGACGGAAGGGTGATGCTCAGTGAGCAGCCCTGGGGATCCCCGTGTCTCAGGCACCTCTCGCCCCTTTCCGGTCGCTTCCTCCCTCCAGGCGCCCACGGGGACTCACAGTGGCCTGAACAGGGCAGGAATCCAGCTTCACAGCCCGCACTGGTGGCTTGAACTCGGACTCGGCACCAGGGCTGCCGAAAGGGAGCAGCAAGCATGCTCTGGCCCGCCACGGGTCTGCCACGTGCAGGACTCGGCTGCCACCTCCTCCCGAGAAAGACCCACCTCCAGGCCGGCAAGGAGCGCCTCGCAGCGACTGAGCAAAGGGGAGCAGAGGGCCACGGGCCCACGCCCAGGCCAGCCTCAGTCCCGCCCGCGGTCGGGCGATGGCACAGCAGCAAAGCTCGGAGGCGGAGCCGGCGCAGGGGTACCGCTGCAGCTCAGCTGGAGAGGGAAACCGGCTGGTACTTTCTTGGCAGCCACTGGTTTCACCACAAAATTCTCCACTGCACAAATCCTGTATTTCTCCCCCGAAAGTCTTTCTCAGATCCAGAGCCCTCCTCCTTCCCTAACCCTGCTTGGTGCGTCTTTCTTAATTTATTTTTACTTATTTAAAACATTTCTATGCCGCCCCATCACAACGAAGCCTCGGGGCAGCTCACAACACATAAATAAATACAGAAGTAATAAAATAAATAAATACTAAAATTATACAATAAATAACACCCCCCCCAGTGCATTCTCGGCTAAAAAAAAAAAAAACCCTAGTTAATAAATAATTAACAGTTAAAATAAGTTTTAAATAAAAAGGTCTTAGCCTGGCACCAAAAAACAAATAACGACGGCGCCAGGCGGACCTCTCTGGGGAGCGCATTCCATAGATGGGGCGCCACCACAGAGAAGGCCCTCCTCCGGTTGCTCTGTCTCCTAATCTCATTCACAGAGGGTTCCCGGAGGAGGGCATCTGCTGCTGACCTCAAGGGGCGGGAGGGCATATATGGGTGCAAGCGTCCTTAAGTCCTCCCTCCCTCGTTTTCTCCATGCCTGCTTCTCCTCAGCTGCTTTTTTCTAATAACCCTCCATCTGTGAAGGGGAGGTCACGGGGCTGCAGGCACCCCAGGACGCTGCTCCAAACCTCTTGCAATGCTGGCGGTGGAAGATAGGATGGGTGTGCATCAGCAAGTGCAGAATGCAGTTCCCGCCATGTGGGCTGCAACTTCCTGGCAGAAGGGGCCACCTGCCAGAGGCTGTGCCTTCCAGGGAAGCTTAAGCCCTAGGCCCAGCGGGTTCAGCCCTGCCTGGAAGGAAGCAGAGCAAGCGAGCAAGCAAGAAGAACGTGTCAGAGTTCACACAATCACTCTGCTTTCCAGTGTCGTTGCACCTCTGCCTTTCCCTCCCAGAATTCCTTGTCAGCTTGTTAGACTCAGAAGCAAAATCGGTGACATTTGATCAGTGGGAAAGCTACACCCAGGGTGGCTTGTTTGGCAATTTTATGCAAATGCAGGCACATTGCAGAATAAAAATCCGGCATCTTGAGAATTCCAAATATTAGTTCCTTCATTCCTGCACTTTATCTTTAAAGACAGGTTTTTAAAGAGGGAAATTAAGGCATTTAGAAACATCACATTCATTTTTAATCTGTATCCAAAACATTTGATCCACGGGGCTTCATGTAATCAAGCTAGGTCATTCAGTGCAGCCCTGGGCTTCCACACTCCCTCATTCCCAAGTCTTACTCTAGGACTGCATCTAAAAATGTCCATAAACTACAAGAACACGGTGTTACTTGCGTTTCGCCTATAGTCTTAAGAGTCAAATGCTCACAACAGCATGATGTGCAAGAACTCCCAAGAAAAACATAAACTTCCACCCACAAACACAGATCAGCATTTAGGTTTGGTGTTTCGGCAAGCATTTCCTTGCGTTTAAAGCCAATGTTGATTAAAAACAGTTCCGCACGACTGCCGGAGTCCCGAGAACCCCTACCAACCTGACATTCCTTACACTGTGCTCCACTTTCAGTCATTAATTCCACTTCTCAGCTATTTACAGCCCTCAGTCCTGGGAGACGATGTGGCAACCTTGCCACTTGACCCTCCGCCTCTTAATTGTTTGCTCGGCCTCCTGCAACCTCGACCCAAAGCTTCTGAACTTCTTATTCACTGCAACCTCTGCATCTTGGATCAAGCTCCAAGTTTTACTAACAATTAAAAAACGCAAAAAATACAGTGAGACAACATTAAGGGTCTGGCCACTGCAGTGCCAGGAAGCAGAAACTTAAAAGGCCTCACTGATCTGTCCAACCACAGCTGGTCAGCATCCATTAGCAGTCTCCTGACGTCAAGAGAACAGGACAACAAGGAAGCGGCTGCCTCGTAGCCGAACTGGCCCTCTCCCCCGCAGCTGCCCCACTGCCAGGGGCGAGCCAGCACCTCGCCCCCACGGGTGTGCTCTGCATGAAGCAGGGCCAAAGACGAGGGCCGGGGCAGCAGCGCTGCTCCTTCACAGCCCCTTTCTGTCCGCGTGAAGGTGGCTGCCGGAGCTCCTGGAAGGAAGGCAGAAAAGGGGGCAGGGCAGGGCAGGGCAACCGTGTGGGGAGGCAGTCGTGAGAGTCTCCAACGATGGCACACCGGCGTACATTTTATCTAAACCAGCAGCACACCGCGCAGCTCAGAGCTTCTGTGCTAAGTGCCCTGCCATGCAAGACAGCACTTTTTTTCTGACTTGGAATAGGCACCTGCAGATTGTCCTGGACCTCAAAAAGCTTGCAAACTAAAGCCTCAACTTTGAATTTGCAGGATTTAGGGAGTTTAAGTTAAGCCCTCGATGTTTTTAATTATTTATCTAACTATTCAATAATGTTGTGGGTTTATTCCACCGACCACCACGGATGAAACGGGCCGGCCGACGGCGTGCTCCCGTGCAACATTCAGCTAGTACCACATCCCTCCGCACTGCTAAGCCCAAGCGATTTAAAGGGCCCTGAACCCACTTAAAAGATTACGCAGACTATCCTACCATTAACCACTCAAAAGATTAACACTGTAAAATATTTACTGATAGGTCGTATTTTCAAGATATCAAGGGAAAGCAACTCTGCAGCTCCAAGGCAGGAAAGCAAATTGTCCTGGCAGTTATTTTAAACTTTTTTCTGACTGCAGATATGCAAAAAAGATT